TTTTGGCCTGTGCTACAAAACTTTCAACCTCTGTAGCACCAGTGCTATGTGAAAAAAAAGTTAACGTACAGCCCTGAGTGCGCTGCATGAGACAAAAAAGTAATTAGCCAAAACAACTGCATAACCGCTCTTTAGTGTAGATGCATGTTGATTTTATCAGACAATGCCGCGATTATAAACGAGAGTGACTCCTAAAATTAAACTTCTGTCATCATTTACTCACTCTAAGACCTGTGCAAGAATGTCACTACATTACTCAATTTCTCAACATCTCTCACAAATAAACCGACTTGTTACCTAACTAGTAACCAACTGACTTGGACTCTTTACTACTACTTTACTAATAATTGTATAATTTTGTGAGAATTTTAATACTAATAATTGTATAATTTTGTGAGAATTTTAATATATCACCTATCTACAAATGAAAGGTCACTTTACCAGTTGTAAGCACATATAAATAACAAGTTTCAAGTTTCAATTAAAAGTCTCTGTCATTTGCTTTGAACAAAAGATTTCAAAAAAAGAAAAGTAGGCATTTAGAAAATGAAAAAGACTTGCAGAAAAAAAAGTTTAGTGGTTCTATTTTTAGGAAAATTTGACTTTCTGAAAGAAAAATTTACAAGATACAAGAGACTTCACTTGAACTATGTTCAAGACTTAAACATGAACATGTTCATTCAGCATATCTACAGAACTGACATTAATGCTAAAGTTCAAGTAAACAGATCAACTCTGGCTTGTGGTCAGGTGCATCAAAACACTGACATCATCATAATAAAATGTGACATTTCAAAGTTGGTAAGCACGCTGGACACCAATAATTTACTCTGGTTAACATGATAAACTTAACATTAGCCCTCTGGTGTCTGAGGTCTGAGTTATTGTTTTGGGCCCTGGAGATGCGTTGACAGGTATGTAACAGTTTTAAAACGTATATAACAGTATTAAAATGTAAATAACAATTAAAATAAATATTGATATTTTTATGTAGAAGTGATGCCAACCAATCATTGAGGTTCATATGAAATGCACTTGACATACAGTTAATACAAATGTTGTTAAACAGCTCAGAGCACAGGGTCCAATATTTACATTTACTCAAAGGCGGGTAATTGAGAAAACAGAGAATAAATGGTGGACAGACTTTCAAAAAACCATTATGACCCATTATGGTTATGTTTATCATTATATGTTTAGGTGACTTACCGCAAGAAATATCCACATATAATCAGCCATATGGAATTCTGGAGAAAACAAGCCCTTTAGGCATACTAAATCGACGAATGATAAATTATGTAAACATAAAAATATAGATGTAACGTTATTATGTCGCAGTTCCTAATAAAGTTACCATCCTCAACTGACTCGACATATTATTTGTTTGTACCACAAACGATATAACGCACACCCCGTATTTTCACGGCACAACATTAATCCTCGTCACAGCCATAACACACACAACACACCACAGCCTTTTCATGTGATCAAAACACAGCGCTTGCGCGCGACGTTAGCGTTAGCAGCTCAGCTTTGTCCATGCCCACGAGAGAGGCAAAACCGATTAAAAGCCCGTTTACCTGTATATAACAAGCGCTGGCGCGGCGTCTCTGTGATTTCGGTTCGTATTTTGCTCTCCCTCTGTATTGTTACATCGCATGCATCGCTTAACTGCTATTTTCTGCAACGACTGATGTGGATAACGGTGCGCGAGGCAGGTTCAGTTGTTTGTAACTCTCGGAACGATGCGCTCAGCGTGAGCGTTTCCTTGACAGCGTCAGTCTTCTGCTTGAGCGCGACAAACGCTGCCCTGCGCGCATGCGCAGACCGCATCCGTGACCACCTCCCACCGAAATAAGCACAGACTGGAGCAGAAGAGGACAAAATAATCAGCATTTTACCTCTGAAATCTCCACAAGAAAGTCAGTGAAGACGGTCCAGTAAGGTTGTATTGCGTAGTTTCAGGAAGCGCTGTCGTCTGATAAATGCAAGTGTTACAGCAAATGTACACACCAAAACGTGAAGTAAAGACAAGTGTATGAGCTTTTCTAAACAGAAATTACCCTACTGCGCAAATGCTAGGAATAGATTGCCTAAATTCAAGTTTTGAAAATTAGAGCTAATATTATGCATGATTTGCTTCCTATTCTGTGCAGATGGCAGCATCCTTGATGGTGATAGACCTACATAAAACACATTAAAAATGCACTATGTACTTTTAAAAATATACAATTTTAACAGTAATGTAAAATTCTTATGGAAAAACATGTTACTTACATTACTTACCTTACCATATACGTTGAATATATATTTGTATTCTACAAGACAATACATAGGCCTATAAATGTTCTATTAAAAATGTTAAATGTTTTTACAAGTAAAAATGCTACACTTAATATTTATATATAAAGTAATAAATGAACACATCTGCTGAAAGTACAGTTTTTTTAATTAACTTTAAGTCATCATGTGGCCTGTTTTATTATCTGCATTTTACAGCACCATTTTTTTACATTTTATATTTCATTAATTTATTTTTTTGTTTTTTAACGAATGATATATTAACATGATATTATTAGCTGGCATATTAATTTCATGCTAACTCATAGTACTTAAAATTGTGTTTTTTATTCATTATTGTTTTCAACTCTGAAAATACCTGAACAGATGGCAAAATAGATGTACAGTGGGTACGGAAAGTATTCAGACCCCCTTAAATTTTTCACTCTTTGTTATATTGCAGCCATTTGCTAAAATCATTTAAGTTAATTTTTTTTCCTCATTAATGTACACACAGCACCCCATATTGACAGAAAAACACAGAATTGTTGACATTTTTGCAGATTTATTAAAAAAGAAAAACTGAAATATCACATGGTCCTAAGTATTCAGACCCTTTGCTGTGACACTCATATATTTAACGCAGGTGCTGTCCATTTCTTCTGATCATCCTTGAGATGGTTCTACACCTTCATTTGAGTCCAGCTGTGTTTGATTATACTGATTGGACTTGATTAGGAAAGCCACACACCTGTCTATATAAGACCTTACAGCTCACAGTGCATGTCAGAGCAAATGAGTCAAAGAAACTGCTTGAAGAGCTCAGAGACAGAGCTGTGCCTTGCCACAATTCTGGCCAAGGTTA